CATGGATGGGGCATGTCCGGCGAGGGACACGTCCGGCGAGGGACACATGTATGGACTGGGGCACGTCTGGCGAGGGACACGTGCGCAGCTGGGGCACGGCCAGTGAGGGACACGTGCACTGCTGGGGCAAGTCGGGCGAGGGGCACACCAGTGAGGGACACGTGCACGGCTGGGGCACGTCTGGCGAGGGGCACACCAGCGAGGGACACGTGTATGGACTGGGGCACGTCCGGCAAGGGACATGTTCGGCAAGGAACACGTGCGCAGCTGGGGCACGTCCGGCTCAAGCACGTCCAGCGAGGAACACGTGTATGGACTGGCTATTAGCAACTCCGGGAGGAAATCCCCCTTTTCAGACCCTCCCCTGACCCCCTAGAATCAGGACCCCAGAGGGTCCTGGCAGTGGTGGCATCGCCATGGCGATGCTGCAGCACCGGCCCCTCCCATGAGGAATAACCGAGCTCTCCAGCGAGCGGCGGGTACGTACCCAAGGGCTGGGCCTCGCAGATCGCCTGCACCCAGGACTTCATGAGCCGGTTGAGGATTCTCTGCTCGTGGACGGGGAACACCTGCTGGATGACGCCGCGGGCCACCAACTCGGGGACTGCGTGAGGAGAGAGCAGTGAGGGGCCAGGCGCTCGGCCAGCCCCTCCCCGACCCGTGCAGCCCTGCCCAAGAAGACGCCGGGGTCTTTTCCCTCCCCCGGGCTCCAGCCAGGGCTGCGAGCTGGGGACAAGTGCCGGGGGATGATTTAGGGCTTGCAAAAGTCACCGACAGTCCCCGCAGGATAAGCAGCTCCCACCTCCCCACGGCTCTGAGGCTCCCGCTGCCACACGCATGCACACACGCACACATGGGCTGCCCCCCATCTGAACCTCCTCTGACTCTCTCAGGCGCCCCCCGCCGCAGCAGCCTGACCCCGGTGGCACTACGCCCACCCGCTCAAAGTCTGAGTGAGTGGCATCGTGACCTGGCGCCCGGGGCCACAGCACCACTCAGGTTTGGCCCAGCCCGAAGTGGCCAGGCCATGGCCTATGTGACACACACACACACACGTACACAATCATGCACACACGCATGTTCATACACATGCACATGCATGCACACATGCCACCATCCCAGCCTGTTTGGAAATGAGCCAGATGCGACGGCCCAGTTATTTTCAGCTGGCCCCAGAGCAGCTGGCTAGTCATCTCCCTGGGCCCGGCTCGCGACGGAGATGGGCAGGGCCGCGAGGGGGCAGTGGGCTCCGATCGGCTCCCTCCCGCAGGCCGGGCGCCGCACTCACTGACAGGCTGCCCCTCCAGGAACTGGATGTTGTGCAACGATTCCCCGTGCTTGGCTCGCAGGTTCTCCAGCCAGTACCTGATGATGTTCTGCCGTTCCTGCGGCCGGACAGGGAGAGGCAGGACTGAGCCCCAGGGACAATGCGCAGCACGAAGGGACCCCTGCTTTACCACCAGCCCCCCACATCTCTTCCCATGCGCACAGGGAAGGCTGTTTAGGGGGAACCAGGACTCCCGCCAGAGGCCCAGGACGTTAGCTCCAAAGCCACCCTCCCCAATGGATTCCCAATCCCGCTTCTACCCCACAGCGCCCGGGCCGGCCCTGCAGGCGAGAAGAGCTGCCATGGGGGAGGCCTGACCCCACTGCAGTGCCAGGGGCCCCCCCAGTCCCAGAGACCCGGGGCTGGCCCAGCAGTGCCCACCTGGGAGGTAAAGAAGAAGAGTTCGTTCTCGATGTTCTCGTAGATATAATCCTCCTCGCAGGAGAAGCTGCGTGTGCCCCCCCCCGAACTCGGCCTTCACCGGCTTCCGCAGCCCGATCTCGTCCGCCCCACGCAGCAAGCTGCCCCGGAGAGAGATGGGGGGGGGAGCCGTGAGGGTTGGGTGACTGTGGAGCAGGGCGCGGGACGAACCCACACGCCTCTCCTCCTCCAGCCCTCCCCAAAGACAACGGGGTGGGAGCGACCTAAGAGAGACCCCAGCACGGGCGGGTGCGCGACCTACCTCTCATAGGTGGCAGTGACGAAGAAGGCATACACCTTGGTGTGCCGGTGGTGCCGGATCTGGATGATGAGCTCGGGGATGCCCAGCCGGATGTGGTTCAGGAGCCAGAGTAGCGTGTGGTCGTCCGTCGTGTCTGAGGGAAGAGGAGCGGGGAGACGCCGGTGGGCAGCAGCTGGAGCAGGGAGCGGGCACCCCCCGCCCGCAACGGCCTGCTTTGTGGGCGCTGGGGATTTCGTGCAAGGCTCGTGGGAGTGCGGACGCTGATTCCATGTGAGCGCCTGGGGGGGAGCAGTCAGGGGCCTGCTGTCTTCCCTGGCCCAGCTCTGCTGACCCCAACTCTGCTGTTCCTGCCCCGCCCCAGCTCTGCCAACACCCCTCAGTCCTGACTTGCAGCCCCCGCGCCGCCCTCCCCCCCCAAGCTTCTGGACACCAGCATTGGGCCAAAAGGCTATTATGGGCCAAGGCTTGGAAGGGTCGGCTACCAGGAAAATCTCTGGCTGCTGCAGGAAGCGAGGTAGCACCCTCTGCTAGACCCCAGTGCTGCAGGGAGCAGGAGGGGCGCGCCCCCTTCACAGTCAGTGTGACCCCAAGGCCCTCGCTAGGGGGCGCTGCACTGCAGGAAGCGGAGTGAGGGGCGTAGTAGGAGTCAGTGCTGACCCCAATGCCTCAGCGCGGCAGTACGGGGCGCTGCGCTGCAGGGAGCAATCTCTGTCTGATGAGCTGAAAGCCTGAGCGTTTGGGATCCCGGCCCCCCCCCGGGCGTTCTCCACAAGTGCTAGGGTGTTAGCCCAGGCATCCTGCCCTATCCCAGCGGAGATCATCCCATGCTGCCTCCCTCGTGCAGCGTCCCCTGGACGCAACCGCCTTTGCCTCTTCCTGTGGTGACACCGTTGCATTGCGCCGAACAGCTGCCACGTCCCACCCCAGA